GACCGGGTCAAAATGTTCGAGTCAGATTACCCCACGAGAAAAAGTGGAGTGATCTTCCTACGACGATTACAGCGCAGCAAGGGAGCTCGTCGTACCTGGTTCGCAATAGAAAGTTTCTGCAAGCTATTCCAGACCCAGTTGTACCATCGGCAAATATGGCGCAAGATGTTGGGCCCTGTGCTGCGTCTGAGGGGGGGACGCCGGTGGCCGGGGCAGCTGAGCCTGCCGGAGCGCCACGTGTGGTGACTAGTGGTGTCGAGGAGCCCTGTGCGGACCGGCCAGACGTTGTTGAGGCGCCGCTGCAGGGCGACTCACCACGACGTCTAATATCGAATGAAAAGCCTGTGTATCATTCGAGATATGGGCGGGTAGTTAAGCCAGTGGATAGGTTGGGTTATTGATATTGTAGTCATGACGACATTGTATGTCTTTGATTTTATAAAAGAAAAAAAATATATATATATATCCTTTAGAAATGTGAGCATCGAATGATTGTGCGTGTTGGTGTTACTTATTTAATTAGTTAATAGTATTAAGGTAGGTAGTAAATATTGCTTACATCCATAGCAGCCTCTTGTGAAAAGGGGGAGTTGTACCGGAGTAACTAAGACATGTGGGACTACAGTGCTGTGACCGCGCAGCATAAGTATAGTCAAGAGACATAGATCGTCTCTGTGTCAGATACGTGTCGACCTGTTACTGGAAATACACATCTCTGCTTGTGTCTGTGTTTGTATCCTGGCTGAGCCATACAACTGTTATACACACAATCTTATAAAACCTCATAACATCTCACATACCGAAATCCCAATAATTATTCAGATGCAAAGTGAAATATTTCGTGCACTGCAATATTTTTCACTGTGTAAGGTTTTTTATTAGTAGCTATTCATTATTGGATAATTATATACTAATTATTATAAATAAAACTACCGTGCATTGTCAACTCTGATGACCACGCTCACTGTAAGGTTGTATGTTGGTAACTTTTTCTTATTGAATAGCTAAATATTAATTATAATAATTAAAACCACCGTGCCTTGTCAACTCTGATGACCACGTTCACTGTAAGGTTGTATGTTAGTAACTTTTTCTTATTGAATAGCTAAATATTAATTATAATAATTAAAACCACCGTGCCTTGTCAACTCTGATGACCACGTTCACTGTAAGGTTGTATGTTAGTAACTTTTTCTTATTGAATAATTAAATATTAATTATTATAATTAAAACCACCGTGCCTTGTCAACTCTGATGACCACGTTCACTGTAAGGTTGTATGTTGGTAACTTTTTCTTATTGAATAGCTAAATATTAATTATAATAATTAAAACACCATGCCTTGTCAACTCTGATGACCACGTCGTGAGGTCCAGGCACTGGCACGCTGCGCTCTGCCATGTCGTAGCCTTCCTCGCCGTTCGTCTTCAGCAGACAGCGCATCGTCTTGCCCGTGGACATTGCGCACCCAATGTTCAAATTCACGATATATTATATAATCCTACGTTGAAATTCACGATTTATTATATAACGCAATGTTAAAATTTACGATTTATTATATCACCCAATGTTAAACTTCACGATTTATTATATCACCCAATGTTGAAATTTACGATTTATTATATAACCCAATGTTAAAATTCACGATTTATTATATAATTTACCTTTGAAGCGTTCACGACATGTGAGGCTCCCATCTTCTTTGCTATTTCGAGCTTCGAAGCAACGACGTCAACAGCCATGATCTGCGTAGCGCCTGCAAACAGAGGCTAGTTACCGAATTACCTTTTGAGGTTACCTGATGCGGTAGTTACCGAATTACCTATTGAGGTTATTCGTGACCTTATGGTGCGGTTAGTAACCGCCCTAGTTATAATGCATTAGAGTGACTTGTTTGATCTCAAAGCTTTGACCATTTATAATTTGTGTAATATTTATTCGTACTTCTGAACCAACAACCGACGACGAACTAGGAATTTCTCTCCTGGAAGTTGAGGTATCTCGATGCGGGATTTTCAGATCTACTCATTCATGAATTATGTTTTCAACATTTTGTGTTTCTACAAGCACAAATTAAGTGACGAGGTTGTCAATTTACTTTTTAGTAAATAAGTTGTAACACTGTGGCTAGCAATCTTGATTATGGTGGCGATGCCAAATTTTGTTACCTCTAGCTCTCACTATTTGAAAATGAGCGTATTCAGTTGAAGCATTACTTCGCTGCCTTCATTTTTTCCTTACAATATGCTTTTGAGTGGCGTACTTGTATTCGTAGCTATCATATTTAGATTCGCAAACACTAAAAATGTATAACGTTTCATGTCTACAACGCACCGAGATAATCCGCTAACACTAAAAATTCAAATGGCTCATTTCTACGGAGTACCAAGTTATATAACGAACACTGTAAGAATTTGGACTGTTCCCATCTACGACTCACCGAGTTAATTCATAAAAAAAAATAAAATTCAGATGGCTCATCTCTGTAGAGCATAAAATTAAATCACAACAAAAATCCAGATGTTTTCTGTTTGCAACACACAACTAATTCATTAACAATAAAAATTCAGATAACCCATGTTTGTGGCGCACAAAAGGAATAAATTTTAACAACTAAATGAAAAATAAATTAAATATATCGCTAACATAAAAAAGTCCGATGTTTTCTATCTCTAACGCACCGAGCTAATTCATTAACACTAAAATTCCAATATTCTCTGTCTGCGACCCACCGAGAACAAATCTATGTCTGAGGCGCACAGAAATAATAACTTTCAATAACTAAATGCAAAATTAATCAAGGTCAAAGAATTCCCATGTTTTCTCTCTGTATTGCACCGAGCCAATTTATTAACATTAAAAATTTCAATATTCCCTGTCTGCGACCCACCGAGACAAATATATTTTTTGTGGCGCACAGAATTAATAAATTTCATTAACTAAATGCAAAAGAAATCACGGTCAAAGAATTCCGATGTTTTCTCTCTGTAATGCACCGAGCTAATTTATTAACATTAAAAATTTCAATATTCCCTCTCTGCGACCCACCGAGAGCCTTACAGACGGCGACTGCGAAGAGACCAACGGCCCCGCAGCCCAGGACGAGCGCCTGCTTACCGCGCACCTCGCAGTGCGACACAGCGTTGTGAGCCACTCCTGCCAACACACACAGCCAACAATATTATTTTATCAGGTAAATTACATGCAAAATCTCCGAAAAAAATTTCTGCAGCTCGCCAGATAAAACCAACAATATTATTTTATTAGGTAAATACATGCAGAATCACAAGCACCCGCCATGACCAGTCCCGCGACCGTGACCGTACTGATCCATGCGCAGGCAGATGTCGCCTCGGTCTTCCTGATGATATATAATGTTTTGTTGGCCGTTAATGTGTTTCAATATGAATTATTACTAGCTTATCTTATGCACTAAATTGTAACTTCAAGAAATTGATTTATCAGATGATTGTAAAATCATTAATAAAATCAAATGATTGTTTGCCTAAACATCACATGAAAGATATTGTATGTTCCTAGACCTGATCAAAACCGTATAGAAGTCATGCAAATAAATCCATATGCCTGTGAAATGTGATAAAGCCAAACGCTCAGTCTACCAAAATAAAAAACAAAATGAATTGTGTCTGAATTCTGCTTTTCATGATTTGAAATGTATTGTATTCATCACGATCAGACCAAAGTCGCTTTAAGGGCATAAGAGTTAAGCCATATGCTTGTGCAGAGGTGCCGGTGGAACTAAATCACAGCGCAGGAACTAAAATTATTTGAACGACCATTTGAACGACCTGGTTCCAATAGATACAGGATTCAAGATAAATTTCTAAATTTTGGTATAGGTGTAAACTAGCAGCTCTGAGTCGTTGTACAGTTGAAGTAACATCAACCATCTGTTCAATGCTCACCAGCTGAGAGCAGTGGTATATAAACGATATAGATATTGTATGCATAATTGTGGATGTAATTCGATACTATTTTAAGCTAATAAAGAATTCACATAGTTTGGTGCACATATAGGGTAACATGGGGCAGCGAGGCCACTGCGGGTCATGGGCCCCTAGCGGGTTTCTCGCTAAGTATGGCAGATATTGGTCCGTGTTCTCTACCGCCGGTCGACAGTTTCACTGGGATGAAGTGTACGGATTTATGTTTTGCTAAGCGTTTGAGTTATTAAGTTATTTGTGAATATCTGTTTTAGCCCAGATAAAAGTTTTTTTGCTGCTAAATAAAACTGTTTTCGATTACTGTAGATGAAGTTTTTGAAATTACTGTGAATTATATTCTGAAAGTAATATTTATAGGGATAGTTTTGATATCAAGTTTAGACTATTAGCTTTTAAAATAAAATGTTGACACGATATAAATTGAAATGATACCTAGTGGGGCAACGGGCCCACGCGTGTCACGGGGCAAAGCTCCCATGATGTCTTGTGTTATACATCATTAGACTTGTCTCAATGATCTTTTCAAAACTATGACTAGCTTTTTGAATTACAAATTACACTTCATATTGCATGATTTTTTGATTTGCCGCCTCAATGCAGCAGGTTTAGTTTCTAGTTATGCGTATTTATGACCCCTTATGGAGTTATTGACTCTTGCCTTGCCAAAATTTGATTTCAGTCAACACCAATGAGCCAAAAGTGGATGAGTTTTTATGGTGTTGGCTGAAGTCACGATTAGGTACGAATTCTCTGCACATAATATCTGGATTATGGACGAAACTGGAAGTTTTTTCTGATTAACTAAATATATTTTTCTAGTCAATGATACATTTTTTCAGGTCAAGGACGAATTATTTATCGCAAGGATATATTTTTCAAGTCAAGGATATATATTTTTATGTCAATAAAATATTTTTCTTCACGTCACTGATAGATTTTTTAAGCCAAGAGTATATTTTTTAAAGTTAAGGATATGATTTTTTGAGGTGTTAATAAATGAATGAATGTCATATTTTTTATTACATTTTTCTTCTATAGCAATAGCGGGCCGGCACCAGCGAGAACTGCGAGCACCCGCCATGACCAGTCCCGCGACCGTGACCGTACTGATCCATGCGCAGGCAGATGTCGCCTCGGTCTTCCTGATGATATATAATGTTTTGTCGGCTGTTAATGTGTTTAACTATGAAGTATTACTCGGTTATTTTAGGGTACTAAACTCGCCATGACCAGTCCCGCGGCCGTGACCGTACTGATCCATGCGCAGGCAGATGTCGCCTCGGTCGTTCTGATGTTATATAATGTTTTGTCGGCCGGTAATGTGTTTAACTATGAAGTATTACTAGCTTATCTTAGGCACTAAATTGCAAACTCAAGAAATTTATTGATCAGATGATTAAAAAATCAGAAATGAAAAAAATGATTGTTTGCCTAAACATCCCATGGAATATCTTGTATATATCTAGACAGTGTACTATTTTGAAAATTTTATATTCTAGATCATAACCGTATAGAAGTAGAACCGTATACGCTTGTGAAATGTGATGAAGCCAAACGCTCAGTCTACTAGAGAAGAAAGCAAAATGATTGTGTGTGAATTCTGCTGCTCATGATTCAACAAGATGCTTATGTCTGCCCTGAAATGTATTAATAATAACTAATATGGCGGTTTCAGCGTTTATTAGGCCGTAGGCCTGTCGCCGATTCTTAACATCGCAGAACATCCCCAGCTTGTTGCGGGCTCGAACTCGCAACTCACTGCTTCAAAATTTCTTAGCTTAACCGCCCGGCCTCCATGCCGATTCTGACCAGAAACTGACGCACAGAGCTGCATGGGATCAAACCCGCCCCTCTCTGTGCCAATCTTGGTACTCTGAACTTTAACCACTGGGCCACCCTGTATCTATAATGACCAGACCAGAGTCGCATTACGGGCATAAGAAGAAAGCCAAGGGCTTGTGCAGAGTTGCTGGTTAACCCATCACTGCACGAACTTTTTATGAACGAATTTGTAATCCTGGTTCCCATAGATACAGGATTCAACAGTCGTTGCACAGTTGGAACCTGTCTCCTCAAAGCTCACTAGCTCATAGCAGTGGTATATAAACTACATAGATCTGTTTAACATAATCGTGGAAGTAATCCGCTGCGATTTTAAACTTTTAAAGAATCCTCATAGTTTGGTGCACATGTGAGGTCAATCGTAATATCAAACATTTTGTTAGTTCAAGTAAATGAATAAGGAAAATTTCCTATGAGCATGAAAATAAAGTGACCGTATTAAGTGCATCGTTTTAATGAAGTACATTAAAACTACATCATAATTACATTATGAAGTACATTGTTGAATTCTGGAAATATTGGCCGTATGAAGTACTGTACAAGTACAATATTATTATATAAAAACGTGCTTCGTAGTTATTTGATATACTAACAAGCATAAAAAATATTTAATTGAACTACAAACAAGTAAGTTAAATAGAAAGCTTTATTGCGAATATTACCTTACAGAGCGCGCAGTCGCCGCAGTAGAAGTGGTTCTCCACTGCCACGCGCTTGCCTAGTAAACTGCTATCGACTTCCGTCCCGACTTCCACCACCACGCCCGTAGCCTCGTGACCTAAACAGATGATTCTAACTATTAAATACAACAAACCTGAATCTAAAAATGTTTCAACGAAGTTTTGGCTAAAATTTAGCTTTTATTTTAGTATAATTCTAATTATCAAGTGTAATAAACCTGAAGCTGGTAAGGTTTAAACAATTACTGTTCTACCAGAATTTTTTTATTGTAGTATAAGTTCAATTACCAGGTGTAACGAACCTGAAGCTAGTAGAGTCTCAAAATATTGGAGTAAAGCTTGGCTTGAATCAACTAAAATATGTTGTAAGGAGCATATGTAGTTCGATGATTCTTTGCATTGGCATGAGCCCACTTCTGAACACGAATGCAAATAAATAGTTCATATCACCAAAGTAAAATAATCAGACTTTATACTAAAAAATACCGAAGATAAGCTCATAATGTCTTGAAAGTTATCCTTAACAGAAATGTAATGATCAGAAACTTACATAACGTACATAAATGCTTTTGCTGCAGATGCCATGTTCGTATGAATGAAAATTGACACTGAACGTATGAATAAAGTGACATATATAACTGTTAGAAAAATTACCGTTAACGGTATTTCCGGCGTTTCAGTGGCCGGTCGGCACGTGAAAAGAAACACCGTGTCGCCGTTTTTCTTCTAATTTAACTCTAGAAATCCGTAAAACATCTGATAAAAACGGCGAAACAGTTTATTTTCACGGGGCGACCGGCATGCACTAGAATGCCAGTGGGACCGTTTTTCACCGTTTTTTCTAACAGTGTATATATTCCTCACCCGGAATGAACGGCAGTGACGCTATCGCTTTAGCGACGTCGTTCCACTTGTACAAGCTGATGTCAGACCCACAAATGCCAACCTGAAAGAATGAAGTAAAACTGTGTTCTATTAACACTTATGTAAAAATTATATGATTAAATATATTATATTATTAATAGTATTCGAGGAATGTTCAAGCTGAAGCTTCCCGCTGAAGTTAGGCAAGCTCTATTCATGCAGAAGATGGTTCGCTAGAGACAATAAATGCCGATTTTAATCTAAATTCTGGTATAATTAGAATTAAATTGATGGAAAATCATACTTTGCGTTACATTAGCTAGTAAAAATATCTATGGGTAAAGTGAGTACAAAATAAACGGGTAGAAGTTTAAACGAACCACAGCAACTTGAAATTACTCAACAGTACAAAAAGGCGCATTTGAAGGAGTCAAACGAAAAATTATGAAGTAAAAGATTCGCAAGTATTTGATCATTCAACTAGGCGACCATGCATGCATTTTATCATCAACATTTTAATCAAGCTCAGTTACGCACTGGGTGAACAACGCGTATTCACCTAGAAAGATTGAAGCTCCACGATTATAATGCTCATCATAAGATCGTTAACCAGGTCATAACAAATGCAAGTAAGTGGGTATAATACTTCAAGGTTCTATGTTCAGCTTATCAATCAAATAAAATGCTAAAATAAATGACGTTTACACAAATGATTCACATCCTAATCTTCACTGTTATACACACAATCTTATAAAACCTCATAACATCTCGCATACCGAAATCCCGTTAATTATTCATATGCAAAGTGGAATGTTTCGCGCACTGCAATATTCTTCACTGTGAAAGGTTGTATATTAGAAGCTATTTCTTATTGAATAATTAAATATTAATGATTATAATTAAAATCACAGTGCCTTGTCAACTCTGATGACCACGTTCACTGTAAGGTTGTATGTTAGTAACTTTTTCTTATTGAATAATTATATATTAATTATTATAAATAAAACTACCATGCCTTGTCAACTCTGATGACCAAGTTTACTGTAAGGTTGTATGTTAGTAACTTTTTCTTACTGAATAACTAAATATGAATTATTATAATTAAAAGCACCGTGCCTTGTCAACTCTGATGACCACGTTCACTGCAAGAATGTATATTAATATCTATTTCTTGTTGAATAATTAAATATTAATTATTATAATTAAAAGCACCATACCTTGTCAACTCTGATGACCACGTCATTGTAAGGATGACAACGTTCACTGTAAGGTTGTTTATTATTAGCTATTTATTATTGAATGATTAAATATTAATTATTATAACTAAAAGCACCGTGCCTTGTCAACTCTGATGACCACGTTCATTGTAAGGATCACAACGTTCACTATAAGGTTGTATATTAGTAGCTATAGCTATTTCTCAATAAATTATTAAATATTAATTATTATAATTAAAACACCATGCCTTGTCAACTCTGATGACCACGTCGTGAGGTCCAGGCACTGGCACGCTGCGCTCTGCCATGTCGTAGCCTTCCTCGGCGTTCGTCTTCAGCAGACAGCGCATCGTCTTGCCCGTGGACATTACGCACCCAATGTTTAAATTCACAATGTATTATATCACCCTATGTTAAAATTCAAGATTTATTATATAATCCAATGTTAAAATTCACGATTTATTATATCACCCAATGTTAAAATTCAAGATTTATTATATAATCCTATGTTAAAATTCACGATTTATCATATAACCCAATGTTGAAATTCACGATTTATTTTATCACCCAATGTTGAAAATCATGATTTCTTATATCACCCAATGTTAAAATTCACGATTTATTATATAACCCAATGTTCAAATTCACGATTTATTATATCTAGCTTGACAAATTTTCAATCCTCAATGTAGTGATAGTATTTTTTTCAAATTCCCACTCGATCGTAGAAAACTAGAAGACATGCACCTGGTATTTACACCTTCACAGCTTATATACTACCTTCTTCATTGAAAGTAGTGAAGCTTCATGATCGGTTAATAGTGCGTTTATAGAAATCTTCGAATGTTTACAAATTTAAGAATAGTAAACCAGAGTCATCAGCATAAACTAGTCATTTCACAATCTACACGATTAATTGGACCCTCAACCATTATAATTGTAAAAATGTACAAAAATACTCAATTAAAGTGCTTCAGATGTAAAAGTGATTTATTCCACGAACTGTAAATCATTTTTGACTATAGAGGGCAGAGGCATCGAGTAATTTTTCAGGTCTAGTCGAAGATTTTTTTTTTAAGTCCTTAAGCATTGAATTAAATATTAATTATATTTCAAAATATATACAAATAAATATCAGAAATGTTAATTGCGTGGAAAAATAATTAGAAGTTGCTGACGAAATTAACCTTCAAATCATAAATTTGAGACCCAACACGAATCTCTTAATCTGCAATAGTTTTCGATATTCTCTCTGACTTTCACAGGTTTAATTGAATTTTTTAGGTAATTTATTCATGAAGAATCCTTGAGTTAATGAAGCGTTTTGAATGTTAACAAATCTGTTAAAAATGCCAATTGTTTAACTTATTTGCATGATGACATTTGTTTTTCACCGCTTCAATAACCGAAAAAATTTACTTTTATCTCCAATGCAGAAAAAACACAACTTCAAGGTATAATATATATCCAATGCGCGTTTCAAGTTTAAAAGATCTGAATCATGTTCTATTCCTCGACCCAAAATCTCTGTTGTGTTATGACTAAGTCGCAATATTAATTAAGGTTATGGGCGAGTTTCGTTTGCGTCATAACCTTCTTCCTCCACGTCTGTAGCGGCACTGATTCGTGGGAAACGCAAGGACAGCAGCCTCTAGCATCGTTAGTGATAAACTCAAGGCCTCGTAATAGCGAGCTTGCTTCACTGCATGATAACACTATAGAAAAGTTGAGCTTATTTATTCCGTGAGAATACAAGACATGTGTGATATAAGCAAATATCCGATGATATGTTTAAATACCTTTTAAAAATATTAAAAACAGTAAATTGAGTTCTATAAGCATCAGATAAACGAGTCTATACTATCTAAATCTTAAACTATCCCATTATTTTTTGTTTATTCCAAACTATTTTCATCATTCAATTTCTGGAGAAAATTACCAAAATTGTCATGATTGCTTTTCATACCCAGTCAAATTTACCGTACACAAGTTATTTCAGAAATTTCCATGTTATTTAGTCAGTTTTTCACCCTTACTCCATTATTTCAACATGTACATGCAAGAATTTGAATGTTGAGAATTTGTACCAGCATTTGCTTGTCTCTGAGCGATTTTATGTAATATCACTGATAGCAAAATGTGATTGTAATGTTTTAAATCCAATAGAATGGGTACAGGCTCATGAAGTATTGATTAAATCGCGTGGTCAGATGGAATGGATTTCAGATAATGAGATCCTCATTTGCGAAAAGTCATTTTAATAGCCTTCTCATCACCTACGAGAAGTCTATTAAAGTGAGAAGTCTAACTTTAGAATGTCTATTAAATATATTTCTGCAACGAAAATATATTTCATTATCCATTACCTGTTTTTATTTCATAATATGTGTATTACAAATCTGATCACTTATCAAAATACCGATGTAAAGGACTCGATAGCTATATTCAGATATTCAGGGTCAACTGAACTGATGTTTGTTCATGGCAGACATTCAGATATTCAGAGACAACTGAACTGATGTTTATCTACGGCAGATATTCAGATATTCAGAGACAACTGAACTGATGTTTATCACAGATGCAAGAGGCTATGATAAGAGTGGAGGCTCGCTTATCTCGTCAAGGCTCGTATACATTACGAGATCTGAGAAGTTTCCTCAGTTGCAAGCATCCATCACATTTATGATAATAATAGTTGAACTGATTAAGGCAAAACTCACTTCTAGATTAATTAATCGCTAGCATTAGATTAATCATTTTTTCATGTTTAGCAATGTCAAGAAATAGGAAACCATCGTCATTATTTTGGTAAATCACTTGTGTACTTGAACGATTATAGCTATTATGTTTCTAAATTTGTATATTGTCTCTGTGTGTAAATGTAATGGTCATAATTAGTTAAGAGTATGTTAAACAAATTTGAGGATCTTAAACGTATGCAAATATCTCGGATAAAATTAAAATCTTCGTTATTATTAATTAAGTAACCTGGATGAAAGGCAGCACCTTGAATACAAGTGTATCTGATAGCAACTAGTATACTTTTAGGTACCGTGGAAGCAATATAGAGAATCGTGGGTGGAGTCAAGGCAATTAAATGCAATCACTTATCTTGCTGAGATAGCCTTATCTGAAGTGCAATTATATGCATCCTCGATAAACCTCTGTATATTGGTTACAATTAGTATTTCTGTTTACATGGGGATTTCAATTTAGAATGAACTCACCTCTTCTCGATTCCATACTGATCGGATTACTCAGACAAAAGTAAACCTAATTTTTAATTTCGATGACAAAAAAAAAATAAATTCTACAGGGGTCTTGACTGGTAATTTTAATTTGATGTAAAACAATCCTGATCTAGTTTGAAATCCGGAAAACTTTGCTTAATTTTTTTCGTTATGATGTACAAATAACATAACCTAAACTAACCCCAAACTCATCGGACAATTATAGAGCATGTACGAAACGAATTATTTAACTAATAATGTAACATGTTTGCTTGAATCGCAAATTCACTAAAAACCTTATAGAAGCAGAGAAAACTAAACAAAAATTCTTACTATCTTTATAGAAAACGTTTCAAAGTCCAGCTCGATCGTCAGTTCGAAAATTTGTTTTTCAGTTTTTAACGAATTATTTATTTTTTATTTTTTATTTAGTATTTAAATGCATATTCGAATCAACATAGATGGAATGGAAGTATGATCTTTCAATAGATGAGGGAAATTACTTTAAATGATTATGACTTGAATCTTCATTAATTTTTATTAATTGTGGTTTTTATCTTTGCAAGAGTTACAATAGCTATGTTAACATTGGTAACTATCTAGACTTCAAACAATATTTATCCTCATTTATAAAAAATGTATTTATATTCCTTATGTTGTTGTTCGTCCATATGTATTTTCTTAAAAGTTCATATATTCTCAGAATCTAATTGTGTAAGCGCTTGAATTATTCGTAGATATTTCGTGTGATTATAGTTGCGCCTGATGAAATGGCTGTCCTGAATCGCGCATGGATATATGGATGCAAAAATTTGATATCTAAATACTATCGAGTTTCCAATACTACTTAGTCTCTATACAAGTTTATTTCTCGAGGGACTAGTTTTAGATATCTCCGACATGCAGCGCGCCCCCAACAGGAATATGACGTTAAAAAAAACGTTTAATCAACATAGATTCATCGAAATAACGTTTATTCAACGTTTATTCAACATTTATTCAACGCTTATTCAAAGTTTATTCAACGGTAATTCAACGTTTATTCAACGTTTATTCAACGTTTGTTCAACGTTTATTCAACGTTCATTCAAAGTTCATTCAACGTTTATTCAACGCCAGAGCACCGTCTGGTGGGTCGGCTGGCCGAGTGTTCAGGATGCCCGTCGGTTTTTGAAGCTGCCGGCACCTGCATCCGGTGTACTGGCGGACAGACAGGTGTAGTGTTGCTGGAATATAACATCTGGTGCAAGGTGTGTCGGCAGATCGTTGTGTAAGATGTAGGATATTACGATCGATCTTTATAGGTAGAACATCAATAATTATAATCATAACTGGCAATATAACCTTTATATTAGCCGCCGGATTTGTCGGCAAATCGTTATGTAAGATGTAGGATATTTCGACTGACTTCTATATGCAAAGCATCAATAATTATAGTCATAATTGGCAATATAACCATTACATCAGCCGCAGGATTTGTCGGCAGATTGTTATGTAAGATGGAGGCTATTATGATTGATCTTCTCTATATAGGAAAAGCCTTTTGCTAGACACCTGGTGTAGGATAAGATTATAGATGACCTTATACAAGTTCAAAGTTCTGGCAATGCACAATTAATAAAGAAAACTCAGTCACTGGAGTGAGTGACAGAGAGCGCATTTTCTCGTCGACGAAAACGTGGTCACGGACGGATAGACGGACAGACAGGCAGACAGACGGACGGACATGACGAGCAATATAGCGCCTTTTTCCATAACTGAGAAAATGCGCTAAAAAGATAGGATCACGGGACGAATCATCACTCAACAGGATCATCAGATATAGCAAGATCATCTCATCACTCCCCTCCTAAATTCATTAACACTAAAAATTTAAACATTTTCGGTCAGCGACCCACCGAGAGCAGGTAATTTATTTTTGTGGCGCACAAAATTAACAAATTTCAATAACTAAATATAAAATAAATCACAGCCAAAAAATTCCTACGTTTTCTCTCTGTAACGCACCGAGCTAATTCATCAACACTAAAAATTTGAATATTCTCTGTCCGCGACCCACCGAGAGCAAATCTATGTTTGTGGCGCACAAAATTAATAAAATTCCATAACTAAGTACAAAATAAATCACAGTCAAAGAATTCCGATGTTTTCTCTCTGTAACGCACCGAGCTAATTCATCAACACTAAAAATATAAATATTTTCTGTCTACGACCCACCAAGAGCCTTGCAGACGGCGACTGCGAAGAGACCAACGGCCCCGCAGCCCAGGACGAGCGCCTGCTTCCCGCTCACCTCGCTGTGCGACACAGCGTTGTGGGCTACTCCTGCCAACACAAAGCCAATAACATTATTTTATTAGGTAAATACATGTAGAATCACTGAAAATCTCCGACAAAATTTTCTGCAACTCGCCAGATAAAACAAACAACATTATTTTATCAGGTAAATACATGCATAATCACTAAAAATCTCCGAAACATATTTCTGTAACTCGCCAAAAAGTATTCAGCATTTACTAAATTTGACAGTCAACAAGAATTTGACTGTGAAACATAATCAACAACACCTGCGTATTAATCGCTGTATATCACTTGGAATTAATCACCTATATTAATCACTATGATCACGTTGGACTTTCAGTACTCCCGTAGGACGAATACATTTTCGTACACTCTTACTATGCTCAAATATTCACTAATAATATCAGACATATAAATAAGGTCGTACCTTTCGTCACCCTCTAATGATTTTCTAATGCTTAATAATATTACAAGATCGAATAATTTGTTGTACAAAGACAAAGAATTGGTTTAACCCTCTATTACACCCACGTAGGACAAAATGTGATTTCTTAAGCCCTTGCGATAATCGATTTCTCAATAACAAGACACAACCGGCTAGAACATTACCCGAAAATAGAAAAAAATCTTTCCTTTATACCATTGAGACGAACAAACGTTTAGTTTCCCATAGCACACTCCTTCCCATAGCACACTCCCAAGGATTTGTATCCCCTTGCAACACTAAATTTTCAATAGGAAGACAATACCAATAGTTTCTTATACCATTGAGACAAACAGTTCTTTTTGTAAGCCAATAGATAGGCCACACTATACCCATAGGCTCGAGCAGCACGGCCATTTGGGGCGTCAGAGGCTGGGTGAGGACATAGCAATAGCGGGCCGGCACCAGCGAGAACTGCGAGCACCCGCCATGACCAGTCCCGCGACCGTGACCGTACTGATCCATGCGCAGGCAGATGTCGCCTCGGTCTTCCTGATGATATATAATGTTTTGTTGGCCGTTAATGTGTTTCAATATGAATTATTACTAGCTTATCTTATGCACTAAATTGTAACTTCAAGAAATTGATTTATCAGATGATTGTAAAATCATTAATAAAATCAAATGATTGTTTGCCTAAACATCACATGAAAGATATTGTATGTTCCTAGACCTGATCAAAACCGTATAGAAGTCATGCAAATAAATCCATATGCCTGTGAAATGTGATAAAGCCAAACGCTCAGTCTACCAAAATAAAAAACAAAATGAATTGTGTCTGAATTCTGCTTTTCATGATTTGAAATGTATTGTATTCATCACGATCAGACCAAAGTCGCTTTAAGGGCATAAGAGTTAAGCCATATGCTTGTGCAGAGGTGCCGGTGGAACTAAATCACAGCGCAGGAACTAAAATTATTTGAACGACCATTTGAACGACCTGGTTCCAATAGATACAGGATTCAAGATAAATTTCTAAATTTTGGTATAGGTGTAAACTAGCAGCTCTGAGTCGTTGTACAGTTGAAGTAACATCAACCATCTGTTCAATGCTCACCAGCTGAGAGCAGTGGTATATAAACGATATAGATATTGTATGCATAATTGTGGATGTAATTCGATACTATTTTAAGCTAATAAAGAATTCACATAGTTTGGTGCACATATAGGGTAACATGGGGCAGCGAGGCCACTGCGGGTCATGGGCCCCTAGCGGGTTTCTCGCTAAGTATGGCAGATATTGGTCCGTGTTCTCTACCGCCGGTCGACAGTTTCACTGGGATGAAGTGTACGGATTTATGTTTTGCTAAGCGTTTGAGTTATTAAGTTATTTGTGAATATCTGTTTTAGCCCAGATAAAAGTTTTTTTGCTGCTAAATAAAACTGTTTTCGATTACTGTAGATGAAGTTTTTGAAATTACTGTGAATTATATTCTGAAAGTAATATTTATAGGGATAGTTTTNACAAGTTGAAAAAAAACACCGAAGCAGGTCTAAGCTCAAATTGAAACATTGGAGAGCTTTTCTAAGTTATTTAACATTATGAATTAAACTAAAAAAATATCAATTCAAGATTTGAAAATTGGCCGGTTACGTCTTTAATGCATATAATAACGCTGAAGTAAACACATAGTGTTTGGTTCATTTTCGTTTCGTTTTACTAGTTCAAACTTCAAACTACAAATCTACGTTCGTTCGAGGTTCAAACTACTAAGTTTAAACGGCTGTGGCTGTCTGGCGGTGACACGGTGTCTTGATAGAGATAGTGAGTGATAGTTCATAGTCATCACTCATCAGCCATTGGCTACTTAGGAGTCGTCGAGAGCGTTAGCTGCAGACAATTGCTGCTGGTTTCCTGATTCTTCTCTAATTTATGTGTTGAATAAGACTGTCAAAAGTAAAAGTGTGAGTGCTCATCATGTCAAGAAAAGAGAATAAACTTGTAAGTACAACAGCAACGCAATTTCGTCAATTTGTGCACAACTGAGCTGCCGTTTTAGTCCAACAATTTACGCGGTATCGCAGTAGAACATCAGTAGCTACAACATTTTACCTTTCTATTCATTCCTGGCATTTGATTTTGATGTACTAGGCTAGGCGTACTGATGAAGATTATCACAACTTAAGTAGGTAGTTGACCATGCTTGCACCGACATCGAAACACGGACTGCAACTTTGCATAAATGTTATATTTCAACAGACACAAACTCACGAAACCAACAAAAGCGAACCTCGTATGAAAATGCACCTTCTATACTAACCTCGAAATGGTTAGGTAGGCCTTTCGTTGAGTGAATTCTTAATGATGCTTCATGATCGAACTTGAAATAATAGATCATAATTAAGTGCGGTAAAAATGTACCTATATAATTTTAGTTTCTGAAATTTGATTTGCAAAGGCCAAAGCAATAATTTTTTTTGCAATTGTCCAGATAACAAAATAACAAAAAAATTTGTATAGAGGAACTTGAACTTCAGGAAGTCTTCCTGTGATCATTTTTTCCTGATACATCGCAGTTTTCCACTGCAAAAATAAAAATTGTTTACTCATTGTTTTGGAATATTGCTGAAAAGTCTTGTTCTGAGTTAATGATTGCTAGTTCAAGAAAATTCAATGTACTCAGCACAGTAGTGTCAATACTTGGACCATAAGCACTTTAACTCTGTAAGCAATCGAAGTGCTATCTGTTTATGTTGTTGGAAACTTGAGTCAATTTGAGTGAACACAATTGTATGGAATAATTAATTACTCTATGTATTGCATTGTCCGGGTTTGTCCCCTATATTTATATTATACCAATATAATTGTATGGTACAGAAAGGGGCTGCGGCAGCCACTCACCAGACCTACAGACGACAAAGTCTCACACACTTTGAAGACCCGACCGTTGAGCGCGAAGTTAACTACATCTTGGAGGAGCAGGAGTCGCTGGCTATCAAGTTCGAACACGAGGAGTCCAAGAGCGGGAAATGGATATTGTTTGTAGAGCACGCATCAATGTTTTCAATGTGGAAGAAGTCCTGCAACCTTTACAGTCAAGGAAAACTTGAAGGTGTAACCTCGCTGAAAGCATCGACTGCCAAAGACAACTCACGTACGATCGTAGATGCTTACGGAGTTATCATGTTCCACTGCGGCCCGTGCGACGACAAAAATTTGATGATGCATTACGGAAAGAACATCGTCGAGCTCCTCAGTTACTTCAATAAAAGAGGCTATATTCCCTAAAAATCTGACCAGCAATCTGTTGAAGGAACCTGCGTGACTGGTTGTAAGAGGAATTCTGTGTACCACCTGCCAGTGGCGCGTACTATAAACGAGTACATGCAGCCCAGGGCCAGGGAACGCCACTTCTTGAGGTAAAAATTATTAGATAAATCACCTTTCTTGTCAACTATCTTCACTACTTTGCTATCTTAATACGAGTATATTTGCAAGGTTCTGATTGGCGTGATATTTATTTCCACAGTATTTATGTTAAACTCACCTAGGCTTTGCTAGTTTTATAGCGCCATTAATGATTATATATTCATGATAACTATTCGATAAAACTTAACGAGTGCCGTGCATTTATTGTTTTTTTTTTAGCACGGGTAGCAGAAATTCTACACCATATTCTGAGAACGAAGGATCAAGACGGAGCAGAAGTGATCGAGAATTCCCGAGGACAACTGGAAACGAACGGGGCTACTAGAAGTAAATTGCGAAATTATCGCACATCGAGAATTTCAGACGTTTATTCCTGAATTTCGGCAATTGACCAAACCGGAAAATTTTTATTTTGTTATTGTAAGAACTCTCTAAACAATGTGGTTATAAGTTGATGTAAAGCGTGTGCTCTCTGTTTTAGTTGTATCCACTTTGAAAACTACAACATAACTTTAGAAATCCTGCTTAACATTTACAACGTTACGTCAGTCAGAGCTACCATGAAAGAAGATTGGTCCGAAGCAGGTGTTGGCTGTGGGTGAACGCCTTGCAGAGGATAGGCCACATGGGTGAGTCTAATAATTTATCACATGAAAATTAATTTTTTTACTTTAAATTTTCATGAATATACTTTCAATTAAATGTTGTGTACATCTCGATCTTCCTGTCGACTCATCCACGATCTTGTGCTTTATTGAAGTATCTTATTGAAGAAGGTCTCCAGGCCAGTGAACAGAAATAATTAATGACGTAATATTGTTGGAAATGAAAACAGAATCGTTTTGATTATGAGGCATTTATAAAAAAAACACGGGAAAGTGTACTTATACTGAAGCGGATGTAGTCTGTTGTCAATTCCCGCCAAAAAGTTTTATGGCCGTGCGGCATTTCTTTTTCGTAGTCTAAGCCTTGCGTAGACTTGTGGCAGTGATTACAAAATTCTAAGATTGTTCATGACTGCGGATCAAGCAGTATTTTACAAGCGTCTCCAGAAAACAAGGTATCGAAAGCCTCTTTGTACTGCGACATCGGATACTCGTGCGATACAATCGGCCTGACGTCGATCTCACCCGACGCCAACAGCGACTTGCACGCTTGCCACGTTGCGAATATCCTACGGAAAATATTTTGTCAGAAATCATAAAAAACAGCTAACATTCATATTAATGGTTTTGGATAATTCTAAAACCGTTTTTTAAGGTAGCTCGTACATACGACGTTATGATTATACAATACTCTCAAGACTAAAATCATGAGTCAAGACGGTTTTTTTAGCGATCAAAAGTTGAGTTTCGTGCTGGATCCTGCACCGTTATAAAATAAAGCTCGTACAGTGTACACGATCAAAATAGATTAACTTTCCCAAATTAAAATTGTAAAAAGTTACAATAGCGCCCAGTATTTTCATCCAGTTTTCAATTTATAAAATAACATCTGAATTACTTTATCTATTTACTATAAGTGGTTAAATAGTTTCCAATGAGTGGAGAAAGATTTAACAGTAGCACATGTGAAGCGTGGATTACGTCATTGTCGAGTCTGACCACATTAATATTGTGATATGTGAAGCGTTCATGCCGTTATTAGGCAAGGCGTTTAGGGACAAAAACTTTTAAAGTTTGAGATAAACTAAAGTTGGTATAAGGTCAACTTGAAGTTGGTCTCTGCACGGTGAGATGATTAGCACTCACCTCCTGCCATGAACGGATTTCAATGTTATGGACTTCTGGATGACATCCCTGACGACGTTCTCAACGTGCAAGGGAGCCTTGGGAACGCCAATGAGCATCATTTGTCCACCCTGATTGAATTAAAGATAATTTTTATCTCTTATTGAATTCAGTTGGCATCAGATAGGTAATGTAATCTGTACGTAAGTATCATCATAATCACAACCACTGAAACGTGCATTCAATATGCTACATTTTGATATGATTCAATATGCTACAAACTGATATGAGTTGATATGATAATAATGATTAAGGTAAGATATTAAAATTACAAGATGCGCTAAATTGCTAAATTGGCTTTTTATTTACCACGACATTCATTTTCGAACAAATACTGATGTTCGAAAAAAGTTTAATCCCAAAAAATATCGTTTATATATAGGTATAGGCACTGATTAAAAACGTTTGTGCGAAATAGTGTTATTTTTTCACTGAATTAGACCTATTTTGTCGATTAATGGGCGATCAAGCCTAACAAATGACGTCATGTGGCATCAAGTAAGGAATGGTCTGTAAACGATATTTAATTAATTACGAGTGCGTGGAGTGGAAAATTCATGTTTAAAATGAATTTGAAATCTAAACGAATTATAAAGTGGGCGTAAGTATGATATTTTTCGGGCTCAGTTGATGAATTTTGAGAATTAATTGAATTAAATTAATTAATCTGGGTCCAAATCAATGATCCTGTTTTTCTCAGAAAGTGATTTTTTTTCATATTTTCACAAAAAAATATAATGAAGTCGCTATGGTTAAGCTTAATTCAAAGTTAACATTCGAGTTATGGTAAATACCGATAAATTTTTAATCTTACTCAGGATGCAATTTGTGCCTGAATTGTTGAATTACTCAAGTACAGAATGATGCACTCACGCCTCAAAACAGGATGAGGACGAGGGTAACTTCACAAATACTCCCTTCCAGGCAATTTACATTTAAAAAACGACAATTAAGAGTATATTTCGTTGAAAAAACATGTATCCAACATTATTTGTACGTCAGATGCCTGGCGGGTCGAACCTTCCTGAGCCACGTGAAGCTCTCGTTCAGGAGCGACGCTGACCCGCTGGCTTCAATAATGCGTTCTATGCCGTCGCCATGTGTGAGCTCCATCACCTTCGTCTTGATGTCCTCCTGAGATATAATGAAACTTATTTTGCAAAAATAACGAGATTTAAGTTACAAGAAGTTCTAAAATGAGATTATTTAAAAGCACAAAAATATAGATAGCAAATCAAACCTTTTTTTTAGGCCAGCCAAAACTGCCCAAGCGAAAATCAATTATTGGTGAAGCGACAACAAATTTTTATTGCCAGGTACGGTTTTAAATCTTTTTGTTCGTCTGTGCTCTCCAACTAAGTACTTGCATTATTAGGCAATATTAAGCCATAATAACTACTTGTGGTTTTATTTAACATTGGATTCTGAAGTTTAGAGTGGCTAATTATCACAGTCTATATTGAATGATGGCTGATGAGCCCTCGGGAATTTAAATAAAGTGGCAAATTTTTCTCATTGAAGTGACCTCCTGGATTCGACAAGGAGAACCCTTGAAGTCATACATACAAGTAAGTTTACCAACTGATACGGCGTTCATTCCAACAATTCGCGCTTGACAATTTATTGTCTCCCTTCAAATAAATTTAGCTTTGGTTTCGATAATCTTTATCTTTTATAACTATGCATTGACGTATAAACAACAAAGCTTTTTAATTTAGAGTCGTGCTCTTCATTCACTTCAATATTTTCTATTTTAATATATTAAATGTGTGCCTTGCAATATTTACCTTTGAAGCGTTCACGACATGTGAGGCTCCCATCTTCTTTGCTATTTCGAGCTTCGATGCAACGACGTCAACAGCCATGATCTGCGTAGCGCCTGCAAACAGAGGCTAGTTACCGAATTACCTTTTGAGGTTACCTGATGCGGTAGTTACCGAATTACCTATTGAGGTTATTCGTGACCTTATGGTGCGGTGAGTAACCGCCCTAGTTATAATCTGTCTCTTATACACATCTAGATGTGTATAAGAGACAGATATCACTGTTAGAAAAAACGGTGAAAAAACGGTCCCACCGGCGTTCTAGTGGCCGGTCGCCCCGTGAAAATAAACTGTTTCGCCGTTATTATCAGATGCCTTACGGATTTCTAGTGTAAAATTAGGATAAAAACGGTGACGCGATGTTTCTTTTCACGTTCCGACCGGCCACTGGAACGCCGGTAATACCGTTAACGGGAATTTTTCTAACAGTGTAGAGATACCAGACATATGAATAAGGTCTACCCGTTCGTCACCCTCTTATGATTTTCAGATGCTCGAATCGAATAATTTATTGGACAAAGATAAAGAATTTGTTTAACCCTATATTACACTCACTTAGGACAAAATAAGACTTCGTAAGCCCCTGCGATAATCGATTTCTTAATAACAAGACACAACAGGCTGGAACATCACCCGAAAACAAAAATGAACGTTTCCTATACCGTTGAGACAAACAAACGTTTAGTTCCCTATAGCACACTCCCCTCGGAAAAAAGGATTTATATCCTCCTTACAACACTCAATTTTCAGTAGAAAGACGATACCAATAATTTCTTATACCATTGAGACAAACAATTCTTTCTGTTAACTAATAGATAGGCCACACTATACCCATAGGCTCTAGCAGAACGGCCTGTTAATTGGGGCGTCAGCGGCTGGGTGAGGACATAGCAATAGCGGGCCGGCACCAGCGAGAACTAATAGTTTCCTATACATTGAGACTAATAATTCTTTTTGTAAGCCAATAGATAGGCCACACTATACCCATAGGCTCTAGCAGCACGGCCTGTTGAGGCGTCAGAGGCTGGGTGAGGACATNTTTATTATATAATCCAATGTTAAAATTCACGATTTATTATATCACCCAATGTTAAAATTCAAGATTTATTATATAATCCTATGTTAAAATTCACGATTTATCATATAACCCAATGTTGAAATTCACGATTTATTTTATCACCCAATGTTGAAAATCATGATTTCTTATATCACCCAATGTTAAAATTCACGATTTATTATATAACCCAATGTTCAAATTCACGATTTATTATATCTAGCTTGACAAATTTTCAATCCTCAATGTAGTGATAGTATTTTTTTCAAATTCCCACTCGATCGTAGAAAACTAGAAGACATGCACCTGGTATTTACACCTTCACAGCTTATATACTACCTTCTTCATTGAAAGTAGTGAAGCTGCATGATCGGTTAATAGTGCGTTTTCTTCGAATGTTTACAAATTCAAGAATAGTAAACCAGAGTCATTAAAATAACTAGTTATAACGTAATCTAGACGATTATTTGCATTTTCAACGATTTTACTAGTACAAATTTAGGAATAAGTATCAATTAAAATGCTTCAGATGTAAAATGATTTATTCCATTAACATGAAATACTTTTTGACTATAGAGGGAGGACACATCGATCAATTTTCCCCGTCTAGTCGGAAATTTTTGAAGCTTTAGAAGAAATTTTTAGAGTAAACTCCAGATAAGGCGTTTTTATCGCGGAAAAAATAATCAGAAGTTGCTGACGAAATCGTTCATTAAAATTATAAATTTGACACCCAATACGAATCTCTTAATATGCAACCGCGGCTTCGATATCCTCTCTGACTCTCACGTTATATTACATTTTTAGGAAATTTATTAGTGCATAGTTAATGAAAAGTTTTGACTGTTAACAAATCCAATTGTTGAGAACAATTGAAAATTGCCAGTTGTCAAAGGTTATTTGCATGATGATATTTGTTCCCCACCGCTTCATTAACAAAAAAATCTACTTGTATCTCTAATGAAGAAAAAACACGACTTCAAAGGGTATTATCTAATGCGCGCTTCGGGTTTAAAAATATCTGAATCATGTTCAATTCCTCGACCCAAAATCTCTGTTTTGAGTTATGACAGTTGCAATATTAAGGTTATGGGCGAGTCTCGTTTGCGTCACAACCTTCTTTCTCCACGTCTGTAGCGGCACTGATTCGTGGGAACGTAAGCACCGCAAACTCAGTGATAAACTCAAGGCCTTATAATAGCAAATTTGCTTCAATGCTAATTGGATGGAAAAGTTAAGTTTATTTATTCAGTGGGCATATATAAGCTCATATCCGATGATATGTTTAAATATCTTATAAAAATATTAAAACAGTAAATTGAGTACTATAAACATCAGATATACGAGTATACTATCTAAATCCTAAACTATCACATTATTCCTTATTTATTTATTTCAAACTATTTTTATAACTCAATCATTGGAAAAATTGCCAAAATCGTCATGGTTGCTTGTCATACACCCAGCCAAATCTGCAGTACACGAGTTATTTCAGAAATTTACGTGGAATCTGGTCAGTTTTTTACCGTTACTACATTTTTTTCAACATGTACGTATAAGAATTTGAACGTTGAGAATTTGTGCCAGCATTTGCTCTGAAAGATTTTATGCAATATTGCTGATAGGAAAATATGAATCTAATGTTTTAAATCAAATATAAAGGGTACAGGCTCAGAAAGCATTGATTGCATCTATTGGTTAAATGGAATGAATGTTAGATAATGAGGTCATCATATGCAAATTGTCAGTAAACTTTAACCTTTCAGATATTGATACAAGTGATGAATCAAACTTAAACATTCATTATCTACATCAACACAATTATTTTTGAAATGAACCTCATTCAAAATAAAAAAGCGTATCCTCATTACCTATGAGAAGTTAGACTTTAAAATGTCTATTAAACATTTTTCGGTAACTTAAAAAATAGATCATAATCCATTACTTGCTTTTCTTTCATAAAATGTGTATTACAAATCTCACTCGCTGATCAAAACACCGATGTAAACGACTCGAGAAATCAACACTCGAGAATTATCGAACAGTCGTCAAGATCAGAGGTTCCTTTGAACCTTTCCGTGATCTTGGTTAAAATGAATAGCTATATTAAAATATTCAGGAACAACTGAACTGATGTTTGTCCACGGCAGATATTCAGGGACAACTGAACTGATGTTTGTCCATGGCAGATATTCAGATATTCAGGGACAACTGAACTGATGTTTGTCCATGGCAGATATTCAGATATTCAGGGACAACTGAACTGATGTTTGTCCACCGCTGATGCAAGAGGCTATGATAAGAGTGGAGGCTCGCTTATCTCGTCAAGGCTCGTATACATTACGAGATCTGAGAAGTTTCCTCAGTTGCAAGCATCCATCACATTTATGATAATAATAGTTGAACTGATTAAGGCAAAACTCACTTCTAGATTAATTAATCGCTAGCATTAGATTAATCATTTTTTCATGTTTAGCAATGTCAAGAAATAGGAAACCATCGTCATTATTTTGGTAAATCACTTGTGTACTTGAACGATTATAGCTATTATGTTTCTAAATTTGTATATTGTCTCTGTGTGTAAATGTAATGGTCATAATTAGTTAAGAGTATGTTAAACAAATTTGAGGATCTTAAACGTATGCAAATATCTCGGATAAAATTAAAATCTTCGTTATTATTAATTAAGTAACCTGGATGAAAGGCAGCACCTTGAATACAAGTGTATCTGATAGCAACTAGTATACTTTTAGGTACCGTGGAAGCAATATAGAGAATCGTGGGTGGAGTCAAGTCAATTAAATGCAATCAATCATCTTGCTGAGATAGCCTTATCTGGGGTGCAATTATGCATCTTTGATACACCTCTGTATATTGGTTACAATTAGTATCTCTGTTTATACGAGGATTTGAATTTAGAATGAACTCACGTCTCTTCGATTTCATACTGATCGGGCTACTTAAACAAACAAAATTGAACCTAATTTTGTATTTCGAGAATCAAAAAACAAAATATTCTACGTGGCTCTTGACAGGTAATTTTAATTTGATTTAAAAAATTCTTATCTCATTTGGAAACCGGAATACTTAGCTTAAAATTTTTTTCCTTATGATAAACAAATAACGTAACCTAAACATATAACGACAACCTCATCGGACAATTATAGAGCATGTAGGAAAGGAATTATTAAGTCTTGCTTAGAAAATCAGCATTTAAATTCAAACTCAAATCAAAGTACACAGATGGACTAGAAGTATAATAGATGGGGAAAATTACTTTAAATGATTACAAATTTTTTCTGTATTGATTTCTATTAATTGCGGTTCATATCTTTGCAAAGAAAGAGCAACAATAGTTTTGTTTAATGTTGAAATGTGTTAACATTGGGAACTATCTAGACTTCAAACATCATTTATCTTCATTTTTAAAACGTGTATTAATATTCTGTACGTTCATATATATTTTCTTATATGTATATATTCTCAAAATCTAATTGTGTAGGCGCTTAAATTACTCATAGATATTTCGTGTGACGATAGCTGCGCTTGATAAAAATACTGTCCTATGTCGCGTATGGAAGTATGGATGCAAAATTTTATACACAATTACTATTACTATATAACTACTATGTAATTGTGAATAAAATATATATATTTTATACACAATTACTATATTACTTTCCAATACTACTTAGTCACTATATACAAGTTCATTCTCGAGGGACTAGTTTTATATGCCCTGGACATGTAGCGCGACTCCCCCCCAGGCAAATAATTTTGAAAAAACGTTTAATCGTCATAGATTCAGCCAAATAACGTTTATTCAACGTTTATTTAACGTCATATCAGCGTCTGGTGGGTCGGCTTGCCGAGTGTTCAGGATGCCCGTCGGTTTTTGAAGCTGCCGGCACCTGCATCCGGTGTACTGGCGGACAGACAGGTGTAGTGTTGCTGGAATATAACATCTGGTGCAAGGTGTGTCGGCAGATC